AACTGGCCAGGGCTATTACTGATCTTTTGATCAGAAAATAGCCTATCCAGAACTGGACAGTCTTTGCCAATATCATAATCTGTAATATTACAGAGGGAATCAGATTTTAAATGCCTAAATTTTGCTGATGAAATTTACTGATGAAGGCTTTCAGATGGTCTCAACTCTCCTAGGCGACCCGAAAGTTTCAAAAACAAGTGCTACTGACAGAAATATATAGGAATATTATTACAAAATAAATCATTCTTAATACTTCACAAAAATTAGCACAGATTATATACAAATGTTGCAATTAACTACCAATTTAAATAATTTGCTTTTGCCTTGGCTGGTGTGGCTCACTCAGTTGATTGAAGAGTTGTCCTGTAAACCAAAAGGTCACAGGTTTGATTCCTGGTCAGGGCACATACCAAGGTTGGAGGTTGGGTGTGTATGGGAAGCAACAACTGATCAATGTTTCTCTCTCCCTCTTCCTCTAAAAGTAATAATAATAATAATAACTTACTCTTGTTTTTCATACCATTAGTTATCTCCAGTGAAGACTAAAGGAGCCTGGGCACATTTTAAGGTAGATACATTATTCTTCAAGTCAACAGTCCCATGATTAAAAGACATTTATCTTTAGCTTTTCAATATACATAATTTTACTTTATGTAACACTTTTGGGGTTCACATCATTTTTCTTTTTTACTAGCAACCAAAATTTAGTAGTACATTGAAAGTATCATGCACCATAATCAAATGGAATTCTTTCTGAGGATTTAAGGATAGCTCAGGATACACAAATCAATAAGTAAGATAAATCACAATAATGGAAATAAAAGATGAAGGAAAAAACATTTGACAAAATTCAATATTCTTTCATAAAACTCTCAACAAATTATGGAAAGAATATACCTCAACATAATAAATGTCACGTGTGAAAGCCCAAAGCCCGTGCTCAATGGAGAAAATTTGAAAGCTGTCTTCTAAGGTCGGGATCAAGAGCAGGGTAACCACTCTCACACTCCTATTCAACATCGCCCCTGAAGTCCTAGTGAGAGCAACCAGGCAAGAAGGAAAAAAAAAGCATGAAAATTAGAAAGGAACAAGTTAAATGATCTCTTTGCAGATACAATAATCTTATATGTAAAAAATCACAAAGACCCCACCAAACACTAGTAGAATGAATAAAAAAATTCAAAAAAGTTGTAGGATACAAAATCAAGTAACAAAGTCAGTTGTGTATTTGCATGCTTAAAACTATCAGATAAAGATATAATAAAATCAGTTCCATTCATGATATGAAAACAATAAACTACTTGAAAATAAATTTAAGAAACATAATGATCTATACAATAAAAAAATTAGACATTGATGAAATTAAAGAATAGATAAATAACTGGAAATATATTCCAAGGATCTATGAAGATTAATTTTATTTTTAAAAAAATTATTGAAGTTATTAGGGTAACATTGGTTAATGAAATTACATAGGTTGCAGGTGTACAACTCTATAATACATCATCTGTATATTGTATATTGAGTCCACCTCCTTCAGTCACCATTTATCCCCCTTTATTCTTTACTAGAGGCCCAATGCATGAAATCGTGCAAGGGACTTGGCCCCCACCACCGTGGCGGCCGCCTCTGCCTCGGCCCTCACAATCCCGGCTTTGTCTGGAAGGACATCTGGTCTAATTAGCATATTGTGCTTTTATTATATAGGATTCTCACCTACCTCCCCCTACCCTCCTCTTTTCCCTCTGCTAATCACCATGCTGTAGTCTGTGTCTATCAGTGTTTTTTTTTACTTAATCTCTTCATCTTTTTCACCCTTCATGAGATTTCTTTTTCAGAATACTCTAAATTAAAGGTCAGTGGAGTGAAAGGATGAACACTTTGCTACATGAATACTCTGAAATGTAGCTAATATTATTCCATTTGGGGGTGAATGAATTTTTTATTTTTCCAATTTAGAAGACACTGAATATACATTGTATTTAACTTTAGAAGTAGCACCTTTTTCTTTTTTGTTTATCCTCTCCTGGGGATATTTTCCTTTGATTTTTATAGAGTGGAAGGGATTGGGGGAGACAAAGAAAAACATTGATGTGAGAGAGACACATCAATTGCTTGCCTCCTGCATGTGCCCCAACCAGGGCAGGGGAATCGAGTATGCAACCAAGGCACTTGCCAGGCCTTCATGTCTTCATCTGCAAAAAAGGATGTTAATCAGATAATCTCTAAGAAACCTTCTATTTCAGTCTACGGCAGCCATTTTCAACCTTTTCCATCTCATGACACACACAAACTAATTACTAAAATTCTGTGGCACACCAAAACATATATTTTTTGATTTGAAAAAAATAGGTATAATCTGGATTCATTAATATTGGACAGCTATTGTGTTGCCTCTTCAAGTGCAATTTTTCCTTATTAAATAAGAGAAAAGTCAGCTATTTCTCTGTCCCATACCCCACAATTTCCCAAATCCTGACTGCTCAGTCTTATCTTCCTGGCTGCTTTTCCCTTTCTACTTAAAACATTTATAAAGTGCTGTTCTGCTGATTACAAGCATTATGCCCTTTTATGCATATTGGCTTTAAAAATATGCTAACCAGGGACATGTATATGCTCTTGGAGGTGTAAATTGGCAAAACCTTTCTTGAAAGCCAACTGGCAATATATAACAGTCTTAAAAATTTGTATATATTTTGAGGGCTCATTTTTACTTCTAAGCATCCAACCAAGGGAATAACCAGGTAAGAGTACAAAGATGAATGTATGCATATTCAAATTAACTTTATAATTGTTAACTAAAACATCTAACTTCAGGAGAAGTAGGTAGTTTCATGCAATACTAACTTGGCAAGTGATTTATTTTATCTTTAATTTTTTGAAATTAGTTTCTATTTTTTCTACAATGAATACAAATTACTTAACAAAGTGGCTATGTTAATTTACTTATTTCTTTTGCACATGTACCCATGTCTCTGAATCACTAATATCTTTAGTTTATTCTGAAAAATCATCAACCCATAAACCTACTTAATTCCTTAGCTACTATAATTATTAAAATGTGGTAAAAGTGGGTATGTTCTCCCTAAAGAGATTTCAATTGAGGGGGAAAAAAATAACTTACTGAGATAAAACAATTACAGAAACACCTAATAATATGTCCTATGTCCTCAGAGTTTCCAAAAGTTGCTTCTTATTTTAAATGATGAAGAGCCAGAGAAACAAGGTACTGCAGCAAACACTTTTAATAAGAATACAAAATTCACACCAGAGGCACATTCTGGGGAATGTAAATGAACTATCACAAGTAGTAATTCTGCTGGAAGAATAAAATAAGGCTCTCAGGAGTACAAATATACAGGAGGGAATGATTTAAAATAGGCTTATGACTTACAATCACATTACATTGTATTAAGCACTGAAAACAGGCATATTATTTAAAAAGCCAGCTAAAAGGCATTTGAACATATATAACAAATCTTACAGTGCACAAGTTCATATATAACAGTAATTTTAAGTACTTCATTTCAACACAAAAGAACAGGTGAAGGAATACCTCTCAAAATATTAATTTATGTCTATGACAAAAATCAAGAAAACTTATACTGAAAAAGGGTTACATTACTGATTGAACCAAAAGTGGACAGGCCAACCACATGAACACAAAACCAACAGTGCTGAGCAACTAAACTAGTGCTGGCCTTTCCAGCCCCCCTTGTTCTTACCACCACTCTGCCCCATACGGCCTTTCCATTACTCATGAAAAAACTCCTGTCTCCCCATTCCATAAAAGGAATGAAGAAAAACCAAATAGTGTATTCAAAAGTTGATTTCACCTTAAACCCTAAATGTGGTTTAATGCGTACAAAGAAACCCAACATTTATACACAGTGCTCCTTTCCAAGGAAGGAACAGACAGGTCAAACATTATCTGAAAGGGGTTTCCTTATGGAATCTGTACATTGGTTGAATGAGAATTACTGTATCTGAGAAGGCACATATCTGTGATTTAAGGCTTAACCGGTATTGTTACATATGGAAGTCAATGAAAGCTGTCTAGGAATTCACTTCTGTCAAAATAGATTTTACCCCAAAACTAGCTTTCTGAGCACATATTTCTACTCTAGAAACCATCAAGAATTTCTATTCCCAAGTCCACCTGTCAAAAAAATTTTTTTCTTAAGCAGGTTTCATCATGAATCAAAAGACTGCTAACATAACCACCCTCTGACTTTGGATGATGCATATTCATAAGCTCAAAAGCCTCATAGAAATTAGTGTGATTCCTGCATCTTAAAAAAAAACAAAACAAAAGTACAATGGTACAGATTCATTTTTTAAAAGTTATTTGCCAAAACTCCACAAGCTAATCAGTCATTCATTAGAGCGGCTGCCAGCCTATCGTGGATGCTGCAGGAACACCAAATAATTTTACTCTGCAAAATAGTCTCTTTCTTTAAGACAATACATGAAAATGAATCTCTTAAAGATGTTTAATATATTCATATATAAAATATCTAATGTTGATACAAATCATGTAAACCTCCCTTTGGAAAAGTTACAACTGGCCCTCATTCCCAGGACCAAAATCCTTGAATTTTGATCCTGTCAGTGCAAAGCTATATTAGATGTTTTCAAACTACAGAAATAGCCATCAACCCTTACAATACAAAAGGACTTCTCAACAAGAAAAATTATTGTGTTCAGATTATAGAAATTAGGTTTTCGTTAAAACCGCCCACCTTCCCATCAAATTTAACAGTTCAATTGTTAAAGTATGAAAAAGGGAAAAATTAAAGCTGTTTGTGTGAGAATCTCTACAATGGTTGTCACCCGTCTCTCTTCTCCCAACTGTGCTTCATTCTTATTAGGTTTGTTTAGAAATAGAACCATGTGACTTTCCTCTTTTTTGTTTCCAGGAGTGATTTTACTGTTCTTCAAGCCAAGATGGGGCATCCACTCCAGGTGTTTTCAACTTGATGTGGAACTGTTTAAGGGTCTGTTCAAGCTGCTTCTGGTTCCCAGCAAAGTAGGCGGCGATTGCATTGTGGAAAAGGACCAGCTGGTTGTGCAATACTTTCACCTGTGAACAGGGCAGAGTACAAGACCACGCATTAACACCAATGACAACGAACTGTCTCACATATCTCTCTCCTCAGGAAAAGCTGTTTTAATAATGCAAAGTAGTCACATATACCTACTGTACACTGTCTTGCAGGGTCTGAGCCTTTGATGACTTTTAATTGCCCTACAGGGGACAGATCAGTTTAAGAAGCTAAATATGTACAGGCATACCTTGTTTTATTATGGGCAGCTTTACTGAACTTTATAGATGTTGCGTATTTTACAAACTGAAAGCAAGACCCTCCACCAGCAAAAAGATTACGACCTGCTTTATTGCAGTGGTGTGTAAATGAACCTGCATTATCTCCAAGGCATGCCTGTATTCTGTTAGCCATTTTGAAACATTGTTGAGGGCATTAATTAAAAAATATCATTAAATACCCTCTCAAACTAAGGATATTCAAAATCAAATACTGAACAGGAAAAATTATATAGAAATTACTAATGACATACACTCTATACCAAGTATAGACATCAAAGGATGGTGAACCTCAACGTAGAGACACTTATTAAGGAAACAGGACAATCACAGGAAAAGCAGGTTTCTGGATGGCAATTTAGGAGATGAGTGAAGTATCCTATTACAGTGGACTATTACAATGGCCCCAGAGAATCACTCCTCTCAAAATCCACACCCCTGGGGACTGTTCTACAAGGTATTAAAAAGAAAAACCACAGGCCCAAGATGGCTGTCACTTATGCTAGATGCAAAACCTAACCTACCTGCAGTTTCAGCCTCTCCCAGGATGGAATTTTAAACCAATCAACCAAGAATTTCCTGATGCACACCAGTGAGGTGTTCTGCCTGATAAGACCCCTGCCTTTCCCTAAAGGTAAGTGTCCTTGCCAGAAATAATCTACTCTTTATTAGTTCTAAACTCTGTCTACAAAATCCTTCCATTTTGTACAATCCACTTGAATGGCCGCCTAGTTGCTAGATGGGATGCTCAGTTCATGAACTACATAGTAAAGCCCATTAGATCTCCAAATTTAGTTAGTGTTTTGTTTTTTTTTTAACAAATAAAAGTAAGCTTGGCCATGTAACGTTAGAAAATGAGGCCTGAGAAGCAAGTGCTTGCCCTGCTGGGGGGTGAAAGCCCATAGGAGAGGAGTGTGTGTGCCAATCTTAGTTGTACCACTTTCTAGTGTCTTTGTGACACAGGCACAGGTTACTTCTAACTTCATTGGCCAAGGTCTTTATCGGTTTATCGGGGATGCCATTACCAGCTGAATCTGCTGTGCTGTTGTAAGGGTTAAATGAAATGGGATACTACCCAGCACACTGTCTGACACAGAATAGTACTCATTCAATTTCAGTGAAATCCAAGGTTACCTATTTGACAGTCAAATCTTTAATCAACACTGACTTTTCTTAGTGAAACAAAATTTCACTTATTTAGAACCCACTGATTTGGAATTTGTAAGAAGATTCTAATACTGTGGTTTATAATAAGGAAAATATAATCTTCATCCTCACTCCGGGAAAATGGCTCCTAAAACCTTTGTAATTTCCTAAAGGATAAGAGGATGGGAACATCTTTTGTTATAACACTTGGTCTCTTGGTGTACATCTGAAACAATTCCAGAGCTAAAAGGAGTACTTTCTGTTGTTGTTCATAATGAGCCCTTTCAACCATACTCTACTTTATGATAATGAGATTGGTGGCAACCAAACCTCATCCTGTGGTTCTCTAGGGACTTTCTAAACTCTGTCTACAAAATCCTTCCATTTTGTACAATCCACTTGAATGCCGCCTAGTTGCTAGATGGGATGCTCAGTTCATTGAACTACATAGTAAAGCCCATTAGATCTCCAAATTTAGTTAGTGTTTTGTTTTTTTTTAACAAATAAAAGTAAGCTTGGCCATGTAACGTTAGAAAATGAGGCCTGAGAAGCAAGTGCTTGCCCTGCTGGGGGGTGAAAGCCCATAGGAGAGGAGTGTGTGTGCCAATCTTAGTTGTACCACTTTCTAGTGTCTTTGTGACACAGGCACAGGTTACTTCTAACTTCATTGGCCAAGGTCTTTATCGGTTTATCGGGGATGCCATTACCAGCTGAATCTGCTGTGCTGTTGTAAGGGTTAAATGAAATGGGATACTACCCAGCACACTGTCTGACACAGAATAGTACTCATTCAATTTCAGTGAAATCCAAGGTTACCTATTTGACAGTCAAATCTTTAATCAACACTGACTTTTCTTAGTGAAACAAAATTTCACTTATTTAGAACCCACTGATTTGGAATTTGTAAGAAGATTCTAATACTGTGGTTTATAATAAGGAAAATATAATCTTCATCCTCACTCCGGGAAAATGGCTCCTAAAACCTTTGTAATTTCCTAAAGGATAAGAGGATGGGAACATCTTTTGTTATAACACTTGGTCTCTTGGTGTACATCTGAAACAATTCCAGAGCTAAAAGGAGTACTTTCTGTTGTTGTTCATAATGAGCCCTTTCAACCATACTCTACTTTATGATAATGAGATTGGTGGCAACCAAACCTCATCCTGTGGTTCTCTAGGGACTTTCCAAAAATCTCATTATCATAAAGTGGGGTATGGTGAGAGGGGGTACAGGTTGAACTAATTACCAATGGACAATGCCTTAATCAATCAGACCTATGTAATGAAACCCCACAAAATCCCCTAAAGGGTTTGGAGAGCTTCTGGGCTGATGAACACGCCCATGTGCCAGGAGGGCAGCATGACCTCCACGCGCTGCGGACAGCAGCTCTATGCTCAGGACCTTCCCAAACACTGCCTTATGTACTAGTATCTCTTCATCTGGCTGTTCATCTGTAGCCTTTAATATTTGTAATAAACAGGGAATCTAGTAGGAAAACTGTCTTCTTGAGTTCTGTGAGCCACTCTAGCAAGTGATTGAATCCAAGGAGGGGCTGTGAGAACCCTTGATTTATAGCCAGTCCATCAGAAAAACAAGTGAAAACCTGGACTTTCAATTGGTGTCTGAAGGTGGTGATGGTGGTGGGGTCCACAGTGTCAGAACTGAATTGAATTGTAGGACACTCAGCCGGCGTCGAGAATCAGTCAGTGTGGGAAAAAGCCCACTCATGTGGTGTCCCAAGTGTGTGAGAAGTGTTGTGAGTATGAAAGAAGAAATATGAGTTCTTTCCTTTTCAAAGATAGAAATCGATCAGTTTACCTCAACACAATAAAAAAAGGCCAGATGTGGAGGAGGGAAAGATGGATATGAAGAGCTCAGTTTCAGATGCCTTCCAAGGAACACCCAGGGAAATGCTGACTAGGTAGCTGTATTTTTGAAACTGAATGAGTTCAGGATAGCAGTCCAGGATATAAATGTGAATTGGAAGTCAATATAGTACTTCAATATACAGATGACATGCAAACCCATGTGAGTAGATAAGCTCATCAAGAGAGTGTATAGACAAAAAGAGATCCAAGGACTGAGTCATGAAAAGTGAACCTTGACCTTTACACCTCACTACATCTCCAGAATTTAAATTGAAATGGATTAAAGGCCTAAATGTCAAAGCTAAAACCCAGCCCTAGCTGGTCTGGCTCAGTGGATAGGGCATTGGCTCATGGACTGAAGGGTCCTGTGTTCAATTTCAGTCAAGGGCACTGTACCTTGATTGCAGGCTCAATCCCCAGCCCAGGCCAGGCGTGTGCAGGAGGCAACTAATCAATGTGTCTCTCTCACATTGATGTTTCTCTCTGTGTGTGTGTCTCCCCTTCCTCCACCCCTCCCCCGCCACTTCCTTCCACTCTCTCTAAGAATCAATGGAAAAATATCCTCAGGTGAGGATAAACAACAACAAAAAAGCTAAAAACCTATAAAACGTCTAGAAAAACACATAGGAGAAAATCTTAATGATCTTGGATTTGGCAAAGATTTTAACCTTTTGCGGTCCAATGTTATTTTTGGAATTCAAACAGTCTGGTCCAAATTAATGGATGATATTGAATGTTGAACTTCTTAATGTTCTTATTGCTCGACGTTGGACCTGCTCCTAGTGCCTGGTCTGTAGAGTCAGCCTCGAGGTTGGACTGAAAAGGGTTAAAATAGTACACACAAAACATCCTATCTAATAAAAGGGTGATATGCAAATTAGCCATCACTCCATCACAAATATGGCGGCACCCAGTCCTCTCAGCCCCACTGGAGTCCCCCAATCCTGGGGGGGCAGCTGCTGAGAGTGGGCAGTGTGAGTGGCCTGGCAGAATGCTTGCTTCGTCGCCATGGTGACGAGGCAAGCTTTCCACCTTAGCCACATAGGGCCTCTGGGTAGCAGACACGGAGCAGCTGATGGGGGGGGGGGGCGAACACTTGCATTGTCACCCTGGTGATGAGGCAAGCATTCCATGCCTGGCCACAGAGGGCCTCTGGGAGGCTGAGCACAAAATGCTTGTGTCATTGCAGGCTGGGCTGAGGGGACCCCCTGCCCCAATGCATGAATTTCATGCACCAGGCCTCTAGTAAATTATAAAAGAGATTAATAAATTGGACTTCATCAAAATTAAAATATTTTTCTCTTCAAGACATTTATAAAAATAAAAAGGCAAGCCACACATTGAAAGACAATATTTGCAAGATATGCATAAGACAAAGAATCTGATACTACAATATATAAGGAATTCTTATAATTGAATAAGACAATAAATAAAATGGGGAAAAGATTTCTATGTGTGTGTGGGTGGGTCAGGGGGAGAACCAATGGTGCTTGGAAAACTGGTTATTCACTCACTACCTGGAGAGAAAACTGGATTCCTAATTCACATGATAAAATAAAATATAAATAAACCAGCTTCAGGTGGATGTGGAATTGTGAAAAACAGAAAAATCTAAAACTTTTAGAAAAATCTTACAACCTTGGGTTTGAAAAGATTTCTTAAATAGGATGCAAAAGGCACTAACAAATAAAAGATTGATAACTTAAACTAGTTTAAGGTCTTCTGTTTGTCAACAACTATTGTAAAGATTCTGTTTGTCAACAACTATTGTAAAGAGAGTAAAATCACAAGTCATAAGTGGTATAAGATATATATATATAACACATAAACAAAAAAGGATTAGTACAAAAATACATGAAGAACTCCTACAAATCAATTAAAAAACAAACAAAAAAACAACCCCATACAACCCAATAGAAATATGGGAAAAGGCATGAATTGGTATTTTATATTGGAAGAAATATATGTGGTCAATAAATAATGAGGGAAATAAAAATGAAGAACACACAAAAGAATACCATTTTATTCACTTTGGAGAGACTGTGGCTCAAAGGGAACTGTGTACATTACTGGTGGAATGTAAATTGGTACATCCACATTAGAAAACGATTTGGCTTTATTTTAGAAAGCTGAACACTCACAATGCCTTATGACGAAAGGTCAGGAATATTCATAGCAGGCACAGAACAATACAAATGTCCTTTAACAGTAGAATGAAAAAATATAAGGTAAGAGGGGGGTAAGGGAATAGGTTAGGGAAGGAATCCTATATAATAAAGAGGTAATTTGCAAATTAACCCTCATGCCCTCACAAGATGGCTGCCTACAACCAAGCTGGCAGGGGGGTTAGTGAGGGATGACCAAATGACTGAACAAGCAGGCTGCGTGGGGTGACCAGGCCGGCAGGGGACGGGATGAGGGACGACCAAATGACTGAACAGGCAGTTAGTGGCAACCAGGCAGGCAGGCAGGTGAGCGATTAGGAGCCAGTGGTCCAGGATTGTGAGAGGGATGTCTGATAGGGCCTAAACCAGCAGTCGGACATCCCCCAAGCGGTCCTGGATTTCAGAGGGTGCAGGCTGGGCTGAGGGGAACGCCCCCCCTCCCCGCGCACGAATTTCGTGCACCAGGCCTTTAGTAGGAAGATAATAACATTATTGGTAATGTTCTAGTTCTTGGGTTGAAAGGTGGGGTCACAGATGTTTATTATGTTTTATAACTTAAATATGCATTACATGTATTATTTTGTATGTCTAGCAAATGTTATTTTTTAAAAAGACAAAGACCCTGACTGGGTGCCTCAGCTGGTTCGAGTGTCATTCTGAGTGCCAAAAGGCTGCAGGTTCAATTCCCAGTCAGGGCACATACCTAGGTTGTTGGTTGGATCCCTGGTGGGATGAGTAAGGGAGGCAAATATTCTGTTTCTCTGTCACATTGATGTTTTTTTTCTCTCTCTCTTTCTCCCTCTCTAAAATCAATTAAAAGATAAATAAAAATAAGCATGGTGATGTCTAAGAGTGAGGATTAAAAAAACAAAGATAAAGGAAAAAAAACACAGGAAAATAATGAAGCTTTATGACTCATTTCAGATATAGGATCAAAAACAGAATATAAATGAGTTAACAGATCTAAAAGTGAAACTAAATTTAAAGGTTTCATATACCCTTTCCAGATTCTAATTCTTTCTGTTGCCATAAATCAATTCCGTTTACCATCAAGACATTCACCTTTTCTTGTAGTGTCTGAAGTAATGAACCTCAGGGAATATAAAAAAACTCATATCAGTCCCTAAAATACAATGTTACAATGCTCATGAACTGATAGTGATGCATCTTGAATTTTTGCAAACCACACTTAAAATTTCCTTCTCTATAATGACATTTTCTAGATCAGGAACAAAGCAAATTTATTACAAATAAACCATTTATTAACTTGTACTTTCCTCTGTCCATTAGTTAAATAAACCTTTTCTTTGCAGAGACTCTTGTTAGCTGAAGAAGAAAGTTAAGATAGCTAAAAGAGAATAAGAGATCTGGGAAAATGGGGCTCCATTCCCATTTTCCCCCAAGTTTACTATGTGAACTCTCTTCTCACTTGCATAATGAAGAAACTGAATTAAAAATTTTATGGTTCCTTCCTACCAACGTTTTCTGAGAAAAGTAATTGCTTTTTAAATAGAGGTATTCCTATATCTGGAAATTCAAAAGAAAAACATTACATTATTCCTATTTATTTTCAAGGACAGAAACTAACTCCTCTTTTAGAGATGTATTAAATTCAACCGAGTTTATCAGTTTATGAACCAGCCCGTTAATTAACTTTCTTCCCTATTTAGAGGTATTTTTTAAAGGCTTTCACATTAGTAACCTACCTGCATCACAAAGTAATTTTTGACCTTGCTCTACTGTCATCTGGGCCTTTCCTGTTTTCCGATTGTGGATGATCCTTGGCTCTTGGAATTATAGAGCAATTCAGGAGCCTCTGTCCATTTAATGTGGAATTTAAATGTCAGAAACAGAGTCTACCCAATTACTTTATTGCTCTTTGGGTCACAAAATAATGTTGCCTTTAATTTTAATCCCCATGTTCTAGAATCAGAGGAGACAATAAAAGTAGAGTATAGGACTGGTTCATTACTGGATTTCCAGAGAGCTGTTCTGACAGTCTAGAAAGTTAACCAAAGAGAAAGTGGGAAGGGCATCAGTCAATCTTTAGCTAACCCTACAAATGTCAACACAAGTCAGGCTCCCCGCTCCCTAGAGTAGCTGACAAACCCAACATGGAGAAACACCTCTTTGTGTAGTCAAGGATGCATTTATTAACAAAGCCTCAAATGGGGTGCATTAGCTGTGTTTAAAATGCCCCCCCCGCCCCCAATGAAACTTAATTCATGGGAAACCAAGGAAAGAGGGTGCTTTTTGGACTGACTTCTAGTTTTCACAACAAAATGATATAATACCTGTTTTTCCAAAAACATTCCCCCAGTAATTGTGAGAAGGTTGATGTGTAGAGCCTTTAGAAGTATACATACACTTCAGAGCAGCTCCCTTGAATAAGAGAGCCTTTGGAGCTTTGCAGCTTTTCAGTGATAATTGTGGAAAGAAAGCATACAATTTCATTGTCACTTTACTCTCAGAAGCTATTTTATACCAAAACAGATTACTTACCTCATTTTCCTATTAGCAATGATTATGTGTTATCCTAGTACAAGTTTTAATTTTAGCAGTATGTCTTCAAAATTAGATACAAATTTAAATAAGAATGGTATTGACTGTTCTATCCAATCAACCACTACTAAATAAAAAATAAAGTAAATTAAAATAAACTAATAAACCAAATTTCAATGTGTACGTACTTTCTAAATGAAATCAATTAAAAATATTTTCTGGCTATCTTTGATAAATTAATTTACATTATGACACATATTCACATAATGTCTTCAATGCAATTCAGATTGATATGCTATAATTGATCCTCAGAATGTGTTGATTATTAAACAAATATAAATCATTACCAATTAAAGGGAAGAATTAAATAATATTAGAGAAGCAGTTTCCATACAATTTTAAAGATAACAATTTTACAATCATGGTAATAACTGTGCTGTTGTCACTATATATAAGGTATTTTAGCAAGACTTAAAAGTATTTTAAGTTATTCGCTTATTTATCAGGTTTGCTTTACTAGGCTGTTTGGTCTTATAAAGGTCAATCTAAGAAAGATTCTGTTTCTCAAACAGAACTGGCTTAAAGTGAGGTGGGGGAAAGGTCAAACCTGCTTTTGGAAGAAGGGCCAAAAAGCCAAAACCTTTGAGAAAATATTTTAGGGTCATTACACTTTTAAAATTTACTTCTATACTTATACTATAAGATTATGAGAAGTGATCAGCATAGAGAATCAAAGAAACAGCCAAGTATTTTGATAGACTATTGTTTGATATGGTGGGGGGACACTAACTTTTGTGAGGCACTTTGTATGTGACAGATAATATGTTACCCTTACATCTATTTTGTCCAGTCTTTTAACCATGTGATGGTTAAAAAAAGCAGACTCAGAAGGTTAAGTAACTTGCCTAAGGTTAGAGAGCTAGGAAGCAGATGTGCTGGCATTTGGGAAACTCGGGAATGTCTATTCTAAGACTGGCCCGTGTTCTTTCATCTCTTCTTACATGCCTCTATTCCTAAGGCAATACACATTTTGGAAAGCTTTTCAACAAAGTTGGAAACAAACAAAGATAGGCCAGAACACTTAAAGGAAGGGTAGAAATGTAGAAAAGACATATTTTAACCTTCCTAATTTTGTCTCAGGCCCTGAAGTTGCATTTAAACATCCTCAGGACAAGGATCTCACACAAGGGTTGGAGCAGATGAATGAAATAAAAGTGAATGCTTTCTAACATTATGAAGATTAATTAGAGACCCTGTGCACGAAAATTCGTGCATGGCAGGGGGGCGGTCCCTTAGCCCGTCCTGCCCCCTCTCACAGTCCAGGAGCCCTCAGGGGATGTCCTGATGGCCCACAGGGAGCAGGCCTAAGCTGCAGTCTGGCCTCCCTCTGCAGGAGGTGACCAGGCCGATCAGGGGAAGGCACCACCCCATCACACTGTTGTTGCTGCCACTGCCAGCTGCTGTGGCTGCCTGCCCTTGGCACTCGCAGCTGCAGCGGCTTTGTCTGGAAGGACATCCGGCTGTCTGGTCTAATTAGCATATTATACTTTTATTATTAATATAGATGCCATATTAAACTTCCATATGATCTTTCGTAATTATAGAGCAGAAAAAATCTATAATGAACTATTTGTTGATGTATGTTAGAAAAGATTTAAAGTGGTTATAAGGATAAATAAAATACAACAGAAAAGCAGAAATTTCAAATAGGAGCAAAAGAAGATAGTAATAACAATTCCAGGCAGAAACAGGATGATGACAAATTTGATAAATTTTCAAAACCTAACATAGAAATACACTAAATCACTGTGAACTCAATTACAAAGAACTTTCATAGAGATCTGCCAAACAATGAGCAACCAGATCAGACATAAGCAAAACCACTATAGCAACATCTGGTAAATGACCTAAAATATAGCACACAATATTTTAATTGTTAAAGGGCAAAACAAACTTCAACACTGACTACGAAGGCAGAGACAAGCTGCAGTTTAAAATAGAAACTGGGTAAGAGAAATTTAAGAGCAGGACTGATAGATGATGCCAAGTAGATTACACTGAAAACTTTCTCCTGCCCACACAGCATGTATCAATAGAAGATAAATACTAGTTACAAAGTTACTGACTGGAAAACCTGTAGGCATCAAAACCATAAAAATGAACTTTTTAAAAAAAATATATTTTACTGATTTTTTACAGAGAGGATGTGCGAGGGATAGAGAGTTAGAAACATCGATGAGAGAGAAACATCGATCAGCTGCCTCCTGCACATCTCCCACTGGGGATGTGCCGCAACCCCGGTACATGCCCTTGACCGGAATCGAACCCGGGACCCTTCAGTCCGCAGGCTGACGCTCCATCCACTGAGCCAAACCGGTTTCGGCCATAAAAATGAACTTTTATTTACAAATCAAATTTATAATACATACATTCTTATCAGAGATGCTGAAGTAATTAAGAAAAAGAGGCAAATTACAATTAAAAGTTATGTTATATTTATAATTGTTATAATTCTTCAAATTAATTACTGGCTCTCCAAATAATTTGATTACATAGGGGTATATATTACATGTACAACAATATTGGGGTAATAGTTGTGAGGAAAAACGGAACAAAGTCATTCTTTAGTAAGATGTCTCCAACCACTAATATAAAAGTATTAACTCTTCTCTTTACTCCCAACTATCTAAAAATATGTAATTATTTGCTTTCTCTGCCATCACTGATCTTTTTTCAGTAAGAGACCAGAAGAGTAGCAAGCAGGAAAGTATATCTGTCTTGGTTTTTTATTAGGTTTGTGATTTTATTACTTTGCAATAGATTTGGAAATGCCTGTCCTGTCAAAGCAACTACCAGCTGAGAAAGAGACTCTATCACAAATAAGGGCGTGGGCACTGGGAAGGGAGTGAGGGAAGAAAGACAAATATGAACTACAAGTGGAGGTGGGAGAACATATTTTACTTTTCAGACTCACTAGGACAGGTTTCAACAAATCACTGACAAGCAGGTTAAAAAAAGCATTCTACAAGGGAAAGAAGGGCAGTTCTCTTTTGAAAAGGTAACTGATGAAACATAATCTGTAAACTCCAGTAACACTAGGTAACACAATTGTGGTATTGTCTTATAAATCTTTATCCAATGGTATAGTAAAATCCTTAATGCACAGGTTTCTTCTGCCTTAGCAAAACTTTCTATTGCCTTTCTGTTCTATGGTCTACAGTGTTAGCTCCCTCCCCTTCCTCCCTTCTTTCTAGGACAGTGATGGCGAACCTATGACACGCGAACTCATTTTTTTGGTTGATTTTTCTTTGTTAAATGGCATTTAAATATATAAAATAAATACCAAAAATACAAGTCTTTGTTTTACTATGGTTGCAAATATCAAAAAATTTCTATATGTGACATGGCACCAGAGTTAAGTTAGGGTTTTTCAAATGCTAACATGCCGAGCTCAAAAGGTTCGCCATCACTGTTCTAGGAGATCCAAGTATAGGTGACCAATATGGCTTCTGTTATCTCCCATCTTCTTCCTCTGCTATTTTAAGAACCTTCCGTGGAGCAGCATCATAGCTTCATTTCACTTAACTAAAAGTAGGGCTGTGGAGTCAAACCGATCTAGATTTGGTCTGGCTGTGAGACTTTGGGCAAGTTACTTAACCTCTCTGAACCTCAGCATTGTCATCTATACACTAGTATATGAGCATCTAGATCACAAATTGGCTAGACATATATAGATGATATATATAATACTTTTAGAGAGCTTCCTCCATATACACATTATTCAAAGATTAGTGTCTATCAATTCATTTACTGTAAGGGAATGTTCTACAGATACATCCATGGAGCTTACATCCAATGGGAAAAAACAGACTAGCAGGCATTCACAGCACAGAATGATATTGCTTTAAATGGAGAAGGCCCTGGCACTATAGTAAAACACCAGTGCAAGAGGAAATATTAAGTAATATAAATCACTTAAGTTAGCATCTGAGCAACTAGTTAAAAATTAACTTAGGTACAGAAGAGTACTCAAGAAACTGGGTATTTCCTTTCATCAATTAGGTGACCCTGTTCTCACTGGTCTTTGGACAACGGGCAACAAGGACTTATAGTTAAACCAAAGGTCTACTCACACTCATCTTCACATTCAAAAATAGTTTTCCTTAGTAGTTATGGTTTTCTGTATTATTCCTTGGAAAACTTTTTAAGATTAAGAATCCCATCTCTTGTATAACATACAACATTCAGACCCTATGTACCTAACAACTATTTATAAACTTAAATAGAAAAGCTTTATTAAAATATATGACAAAGCCATATTTTTTCTTAAGAAAATCCTTAATAGTAATACTATGCCCTGCTTTAAGATGAGAACAGAAAATTTAACAAAGTTTACAAATCATTTAAACATATAATCAGAGTTTCTTCAAGAATTTTTTTTTCTGGTCTTTACCCACCAATGCTCATTCTTGTATGGTACTGCTTAAATCATACTGCCCCCTAACCTA